CTGATTTCTTGTTGCTTAATATACAAGTGGAAGATTTCAGATTGAGAAAACCTGGGTGCCGCCAAATTGCCCTGCAGCTGCTAAGCGGCTGGACTTCGTGACGTTCCATTACAAGGTACGCACCTATTCAAGGTTCATTTAGCTCTTTCAAACCTTTCTGACACTATAACTTCAGGTGTTCACCGAAGACGGCAAGAAAACATATCAATCCTATGGTGAAGGTCCAGTGACGATTCAACTTGGAGTGGGTATGGCCATGCCAGGTCTTGATAAGGTACTGAGATTAGGAGAGTCCCTCCTGATACCGACCAAGTCAGGTCAACAAGCCGAACATTTCGTCCTTTCGGGGGAAGCTCGCTGCGTCATATGAAAAACCCGTAGATTGCTCAATTCAGCTGAAACTGCTAGAAGCGTGGGATGCGGTCCTTTCCTGAATGGATAGCTTGCTTCCCAACTGGCTCTTTTGACACAAAGTAAGAGCGATGAAGGATCGTTAGGCATGGGCAAGGATTCATTCGTACAGTCAATTCGACTCATTAAACCCTCACTCATCATCTTTCACTTCTTCTAATCCTACCTGTGCTATCACTGCGTTGCCCTTTTAGAATGAAGGCAGCCGATTGACTATTATTTCAGGGGCTGAAGGGTATGTGTGCAGAGGAACTTCGCAAACTGCAAGTACCGTATCGATTGAGTCGTAAAAGCAAAAGTAGAAGTGAGTGTAGAATGTTCAAAAATTGTTAAATGGCAAGTATATTTTTCTTTTTTGTCAGTGTGGAAGCATATTCCGAACGATGAGCACTGGCTCACATTCAACCTGGAAGTGATCACTGTCGAACCGTTCTCGCATACTCGACAATTCCAATTTCTTGATGTCGATCACAAACTAAAACTGACTGAATCATCGGTAAGAAATTCTGTTGTTAAATACTTTTTAGGTTTGAGTTGAATCCTAGTTGTCATGTGGCCGAGCTGGGGCTCTTCCCAATCTATCAAAAGGCAGTAATTTCGGGTATGTCGGGTCGAACGGGTTATTTCCCGAGCTGTTCATCTCTAGTGAATTTGGTTTCGACAGAAAAAGGGTCAGGGGTATCTGAGTGAAAAAGGGTTTCTGGTGGCTATAACTACGGGTTTTTATGTGGCACTGTTCGATGAGACTGAATTGGTGTAGCTGAATGATGCACTAATGGAAGCATGGTCCGAGGAGTTTCTCCCAACAAATTGGTACCATGCAGAGGGTATGAAATGGCTGAATTGTTTATCGTCTGGCCGTTTGTTTGTTTGTTTGTTTGTAAGTCGGGTCAAGTTTGGAATGGTTTGAGCAGGATAGGTGCAACAGAGCACATGTGAGCCTCGGAGCGGAGCTCCGCCCCCGAGAGGTCTTTCTCACCGTGAGCGGTACTTTCCACCGAATTCATAACTCGACACAACGAAGGCGTCGAGGTCAGGAAAAAATAAAAAGGGTGAGCAAAGCCTTGTGCGTGCTTGGCATGCTAAGCTTAGCGAAGCTCCGCCCACGGTGGGCGGGCGTGCATTGAGGTGAAGGCTACTTCTCAAAAATGAGTGTAAATGTAAATTCGTTTGGAAACGTTCTAGAAAGCGGGGAAAAAGTGGCTAGATGTAGTAGAACAAGCCCACGAAGTGAGCGGATTGGCACCAAAATGGTGGGACTTAGATTAAAAGTTTATGGCTCTGCTCAGAAACATTCTAGACACGGGAAAAAGTGGTTACATATATTGGAACAAATGTGGTTGAGTCGGTAAGTAGGCAGACGTGGCACAGGGAAACGGAGCTAGGACGAAGAATTCATCTCTTCAAAGGCATTCTAGAATGCGGAGAAAATGGTTAGGAGCAGTTGAAGGAGGGGTGGTCAAGTTTTTGTGGTGGAAAGGGTCTGCACTGAGGCGGACGGAGCTATGATCAACCACTAGTAATTCTGCTCAAATTGAATGTATCGAGCGTGATGCTCTCAGCAATTCAACGTTCGAATCTAGGAAGAACTATCCTATTCTGATAATTCAACATTCCGCTGAATGACTCCATCGTAGACAAGCGGTCGTCGATATGTAATGCACGCGTTAGAATGCATAGCCCAACTGGTATTTAATGAATGATCTGGGATTAGGATGAAGGGTAAAGTCTTTAGGCGTTGATCATTCCCATCTGAGGTTGCGCTAACGCATTCGACTTCCATTCAGACTCATAGCGACGTGTTGAATGCGTACGTGGCCTATACAATGTCTTGTGGTAGCATCCAGGTACGAGTCGGTGCTTATATCCTCTCAGATGAGTCAGGTTACAAGTCAGGTTACAGTGTACCAACGCCGAGAGAATGGAAGGCCTAGGATTGCTCTGGGAAAAAGAAAAATCATTCAATACGTATGTGTGCTTGCAGTTTTTGAAAATGATACTTACAGCTTCTGAAATGGCTTGGTACAATGAAAAAAGAGTACGGAAAGTCATGGACGAACGAGGATATTGATAATGTTACGGCCGTCAAATATTACATAAGGTACTCCTTTTTTGGTGTTTTATGATTGCTCTGCTTAAACCTACAAAGCGAGCGGATAATCGGGGACAGTGTCATCGGTAGTGTAATGGATAGGAGCACGGCGCCCGGAAAGCACAAAGCACGGGTTCGAGTCCCGTCAGAGGATGAAGTTTTGCCCACCATTCCCCATCCTTGTGAGACTTTCGGATCACGTACTGTGGCAATGAAACAGCAGTTACCCAAACATGGGGCCAAAACAAGTAGCATTATTATTATATTAATTATTGTTTTTACTACTATTATTTTAAAAAATTAATTATTTACATTTATTTCCGTTATTCATCTGACGTAAACAGGGAAACGGGCCATGATCTCGAACCATTCAGAAGTTGCTGCAATGTTCTTCCATTCTGTTCCTGCGAACATCTTGAAATCATCTTCCCATCGCATACGTGGTCGTCCCACTGGTCTAATACCATAGGGCTTCCATTTCATCAGCCTTACTTCCCACCTTGTCTGTTCTCTTGTCATTA